GGTTCAGTATTTGTGAGCAGCCAACTGCAAGGTGGATAGAAGTCATGAGTTTTAGACTCTTATTGGAGGTCGCCCGGTTAGATTTTCACTCTTAGAGTATGCTGAAATCACGGGGCTAAACTGTGACCCAATTGATCCCAATGACAAGGTGGAAATAGATCACACCGAATTTTGGGCCGAGATTGGAGTGAGAAGTGGGGAAGGCCCCAATTGGAATGAGTTAGAAGCTCGGATGAAAACTTGCCAAGCATGGACTTATGAGAAGAAGAAGATGTTGGCGTTGCTTTTCATTTTGCATGTTGGTGTATTGGGACTTCACCGCAACAGTCGAATCCCGTTGGCTTTAGCCAAAACAGTTATGGATGAAGCAGCTTTCGAGAGACAGCCGTGGGGTCGTCATGGATTCCATGAACTAATTTAATCCCTTCAAGATTGCTAACTTGGGGGGAGCACGATACACTCTCCACGGATGTGTACAGGCAATGCTTGTTTGGGGTTATGAGTGCATCCCTATATTGGCTGAGAGAGCAGGGAAAATACGCCCCGATGTAGAAGACTCGGTTGTTCCTCTTCTTAGGTGGACTTCATCACGGTGTCGTTATGTTTTCGAGACTCTTTTGGAGATGGATAAGAGTGAAACCGAGGATCACAAGGTATTTGTACCTTAGCAGCTATTGAGTTGGTAGAGTTTTTTGATAATAGCTTAGTACTTGGTAGAGTTATTTATCATACAACAATTTGTGGTAGAGTTATTAAATGTGGTAGAATATAACATTTGGTAGAGTTTTTACAATTTGGTAGAGTTTTAACATTTTGGTAGAGTTTTTACATTTTGGTAGAGTTTATACAGTTTGGTAGAGTTTTTACATTTTGGTAGAGTTTTTGATTCAGTTTGATAGATTTATTAATATCATGGTAGATTTATTAATATCATTTTCTATGGCATGGCAGGTTCGGGTTAGACATCTACTGGTGGTGAAGCCCTTGGAGGAAATATATCCTGTCTGGGAAGGTGAACCCCGACGTGTAGACGTCGATATAAAGGTGCATAACATGATATGCGATATTCTGGATGGAAGCTTGGATGAGGGGTTCTGGGAATCTCCCAAAACCGTAGGTGGCGATGCAACAGGTGGCGCTTCAACAGTTCAGACGCCGAAACAGTCGAAGACGAAGTTGGAAACTCCACGCGTGGAGAAGAAAAAGAAAGAGAAGGTGAAAGAGGCTGAAGCAACGGATTCAACTCCGAGAAGCAAAAGGAGAAGGGAAAGAGAGGCAAGGAAAGAAGAGAAGGAGAAAAAGAAACGTAAGAAGGAGGATGAGGAAGAAGATGATGATTTTAACTCGCCGGTGAAGCTACTAAAGGATGCAATTGAAGAAAAGAGAAAGGAGAAAAGGGAAAGAAAGGAAAGAAAAGAAAGAAAGGAGAAGGAAAGAGAGAAGGAAAGAGAGGAGCAGGAGAGAGAGAAGCAAAGAGAGAACGAGAGCAAGAAGAAAGAGCCCGCTGTGGAGAAGGAGGATAGGACGAATGAGATCCTCATGGCAATCAATGGTTTATCAACGACGGTAGCATTGCTAAACAACAATGTCAGCAGTGCTGTAATTCGTATAGACCACCTGGATAAGAGGATTGCCGTTATCGAGGATAAACATGAGGAGAAAGAGGAGGCCATGGCGAATTCTGGGAACAATGTTGACAACGACCATGGTAACAATGATAATAATTCCGGTGATGCAGAATCCAAAACCTCACCGAAAACCCCTAGAGCAAAGGCATCTCCTCCAGCAGCAGCGCCAGTAGCAGGAACGTCAACGGGAGGTGGAGCAGGAACGGAACGGGGAGCTGTGGAATAAGGATCCTGGTACGCAAGTCTCTCTTCTAATGTC